AAATCTTATCACGTGAGTCTGTCGTGCAATTAGATTGAGGATCTGTGATGTGGAAACATTTGAGAAACCCTGTGGTAAGACATCTGCTGTCAGCACACTGTCTCCTCAGTATTATACAGGAACGCCCATATGGAACATACAGAATGTAGCCTACAGGCCTATATAGTCACCAGTTGGGTAAATAGTCACGCACGCACACAACCGGAGGACGTGCGCCTGCTTTTGGTCATCATTCTCACACCAGCTGTGCATGGGCATGTCAAAGACTATGTGAGATGATACGACAGGCTGATGTTTTATCATAAAGGATTAAAAAAAAACACACACGCAACTCTAATGTGAGATGGAGGGCCTCAAACACCATATTAATACGCATTTAGATCACAAAGTTCTACGCAATGTAAGTTAGCATTTAGCTAAAATGCTAAACTAATGTAATAGTAGCTCATGTGTAAAAGTCATAAATTCATTGAATTGACTCAGTAATGTGAGTTACACGGCAATATTTACATCACGTTTGTTAACATTACCTAACATTAGCCACCAGAAGCTACTGCTCATACCAGACCAGGTAAGTTTGTAACAGCAAAACCCCCTGAGTATGTTTTATTGCTTATACGTTTTTGTAAGAAAAATTTATTATTTCTTCTTTCAAAAGTTGAATGATCTTGCTTTAATGTGTATAGAAGATGAACATGGTGAGCATTCGGTAATACTGAATGGACTCAAGTCAACTGTGAGGGAAGTAAATTGTTTTTTTTAGCATTCCTGATGTTGGTATGCTATAAAAAAATTTAAGTTTGTCTAATGTATTACCAGCTACTACACAAATCAAACTGCCCCTGTTCAGTACCATATGAGAAGATAATATAAAAAGCAAAACGTTTATTAGGTCTAATAAAAGTTATACTGACAGAACAATTGGTAATATTAGAATATTTTAATATGTATAAATAACAGAAGAATATAGTGTCTCTCCATGACAACTGAGCCAAGGCCATGTGCTAATGAAGACCATGACATGCAGTCCAAAGTTAAAGGCCACCAGATTCACTAAGTCAGTTTACTAGTCGTAATTAATATTACTCAGCCTGTAAAAATAGTTGGATAATACCTGAAAAATAACCCTGTCATGGGAAATGAAGGATCCAGCCTTTTTTGGATCCTGACCCATGACAGGGACTAAAAGTCAGGATACTTAGCCTCTGCTTGCTTGATTTCTTTTTTTATTCTGTCTCTCATGAGTCCCCAAACTTTCTGGAAGTGAAGCACTGTATCGCTAAAGAATTTAACCAACATGTCCATCTACATGTGCCGTGGGTTGTTGCCAAACTCTGGTTCCCTACAGCTCTGGACCGTTGCGTGTCAAACACTGACAACTAGACAGGTTAACATTCAACTCATTGGACCAGACTGTGCCACCGGCTGGGCGCTAATTTTGTGTGCATGTGTGGTGATGGTAATGATGCTAATGCAGCATTGTCTCCAGGCTGACACAGCATAACAATGACAGGAGGAGAGAAAGACGGGTGGACTCAAAGAAAGAGGAAGCAACATGGCAGTAGGGAAAAAGAAATACATATAGAATGGATGTGTGAGGACAACGAGACAAGAAAAAGGCAGAAAAATAAAGAGAACAAGCCTGAGAGATAAAGACAGAGAAAGACAGTCCTACAGCTAATTTAAGTCTAGACAGGGTTGGCCAAAGTGTCGAAGCAATTACACTTAATCTTCAAAGTGCGCGCACACACACACACACACACACACACACACACACACACACACACACACACACACACACACACACACACACACACACACACAGTCCTAGGAGGATCCCTGATGGCCCTCAAACACAGAGGAAAGTCTGCAGAGCTTGTAGTGTCTGTATTTTGTGCAGAGATACTAACACAAAGATGTCCAGAATAGCTATTGGATGGCTGACCATTAGAATTGAACCAAAAGCCCTACATCAATGAAAACATGTTTCAGTGCTCTGTACACTACACTGTTGAAAACAACATGAATTATTAGCACATCATGTATCTGTAATGAGCAGCAGGAAAGCCTTATTAAAGCAGTGCTTATTCAATTCAACATCAATAAATCATCTCTGCATTATAATTAGTTTTAACATAAAGATCTTCAGTGAGAAACACTGCATTGGAGCTTATTATTTTTACCTCTTTCTATTACAATCATGATTTGAAAGACCCTCAAATGTATTTTAAAATGTATTTTAATCTACACATATAATCAAGCTGGAAGTTTTATGTGTATAGGTGATGGTCGATTTCAGCAGCTGTAAGGGCAAATGTCTACGGCACAGTTAGCTAGCTGCGGCTAACTACTGTTCATTGGACCAGTAGGTCAAACTACAAAATGAAACTTGTATTTTTAGTGATTCTTTGTATGCTTTTTGGCTAAAGATGGATTTGTAGAAAGGTGTTTTTTGACCAACAATGTGGAGAGTCTTTCTCTCAGATAGCTTCATATCACTTTCCTGAGCTAGCAGTTAGCTCAGAAGTAGCTGCGTGTGAATGACATTTGTCAGAAGTTCAGCTTTAAAGTATTATCATTTCATTCAGATGTGCTCCCTGTAGTTGGCTGTATCGTGAACATACTGATGTAAAGGGGACTTTACTCAATGGTACAGACCCACAGAGGGACTACATGAAGACATTGTCTTAATAGAATAGAAACTACTGCAGTCCCTTGTTCGCACAAATGACCCCCCTCCCCTGAAGTTTGAACAAACCCCCTGCCTTCCATATAATAACCCCTGTCTCTGTGTGTCTACAGGGCTTTTGTGTCTGCTCTATTTAACTCTGCAGCCTGGAGGACTCCTCCTTCATCCTCCTCCTCCTCAAACCCCTCCAGTTTGCTCTTATCTATATTACTTCTCTCTTAATCTGCCAGCTCTACCCTTTCCTTCTGTCTGACAGCCATCCATTGTCCACTTCATTCGTGTTAGGGAAGCATGTTTACACAGAGCTTGCCCTATCTCTCTGCACTATCATTGTAGAAGAGGTTTAAAAATCTAGGTGTCTAAGGTCTAAAATGGAATTATCTGCCTTCTTTCAAGGAACGGATTTTACACATAAAAGGTCAGTTTATTCATCACAAGGGATATGACTGAAAACTGTGGTATAATGTCTTCTGTGGCTCTGGATGAACTTTCCCAAGTCTAAATAAATAACACTGACACAAGTCTGCAGTAGAAACTTGGGATGTAGTGTTTAAATATGTAGATTTATTTTTATTTTTTTACCAGGCAGGGAGGGTCCATAACACACAATGCAACATGATAGTATGAAAGATGCTATCATGTTGCATTATTATACGTGTATGATCCATTTCTTGGAGCTTGATCCATTCTAGGCTCTGCTTTTTACATCTTGACCATTAAAAAGCTGCAGGAGCAAATGTTACCAACAGTACTGAATCATTAAAGGCCTGTATAATATTCCTATTAGGAGCATGTAGAGCATGTGGTAGGTTTGATGACTTTACAGTGAGTTTAATATAGTTTGCACTCTGATGTAACTTCTCATGTCAATATATATCATATGCATTGTATTATACCTGGTTACTTTGTCAAACTTGACCTTAGTTTTAATGTGTTGCTGTTTAGTTTGTAGCTACTCAACAGAGAATTTATATTTTTATATGAAGTAGGAATATTCATAACACACCCACATCAGCATCATGACCACATGGACCAGTGCAAATGGGTATTCCAGTAAAGGACCAGTGGTTTTGCACAGCTGAGTAAATTCTGTATGCTTACAACTTACATTACTGGCATTTCCCAACTCATGCAATAGGTTCTTTAATTTTCAAATGTGTTCTGTCCAACCGTCCAGGAGCCCATTGGTGTTGATTTTAGTACACACAACACATATCTTCGGTGGCTTTTGTTAAGGTTACTTAAAAGATCAGTGTGTAGGATATAGTGGCATCTAGCGATGTATTTGCAGATTGCAAGAGACTGGACGCCACTCGAACACATACCTATGAATATTATATTCCATTTCTGCCAATAGATCCTCCTAAATGTTACACACTGGACCTATTTTAGAGTTTTGATGGTGGACTGATCTGTGAATCTGTCCTGGTGGTGCATTCATGTTCTGAAGTGAAGGTCTGCTTCCCCATTCAGCTGTCACATAGCATTACATTCACACTACGTGATGTTTGAAAACTAAGGAATAATCAGACACGAACATCATATTGCATGATCTGGAAATGCACCACTCCTCTAGATCGAACTCAGATGTGTGCTATCATTGGCTGTTTAGGGCTGAAGGACCTGCATACTAGCTGGAAAACCAAAAGTAGGTAGCAAAGTGACTCTCCATCTCTAGTAGTAACACACAAACTATTCAGTCTAGAACAGAGTCCTGTAGCTCCCCTGAATGGAACATTTCTGAAGTGCTGTTGGAGGAGTCAGAGCGAGGCAGCGATGCAGTGGATGAATCTACAGTTGTGAGTGGTGACCATTCCATTTGCCATGGAAATGAGTCCCAGGAATAAAGATTGTGTGAAATCCCAATTATCATGTGGATGTCTGACTTCTAAGACAGGCGTATCACCTGAAATCTTTGAATTTTAAACAATTTAGCAAAACATTGCAAAAGCTAAAAAATGGCTGCATGCTTTGGGGAATGACTGGCACTAATGGAAGGTGTAAGCTAAGAGTGCTTATTTGCCTTAAACATGCAAAACCACTGCTATGGTCCTTCAAGAGTGCAGTGAACACACACACTGCAGGGAAATTGTCAGTTTCAGTCGGTTTACCACCCTAATTTCACCTCAACGACTTCAATTCAAGCCCAGTGATTATCCAAATTATCCAAACGGCTGATTTTCCTAAATGCCTACGAGCCAACTCAACGCGTCCTCCAGGAAAGAGAACTTTCCTACAGGGATTAACATCACATTAGGGGACAGCATCACTCCCTCTTTACGTCTTTGCACGAACGCTCCTGGCGACTCACCGCTCTTGGCGTCCTTTCCATCCAGCAAGGGTCGGTAGTCGCTCTTGGAGACTGTCTCTCCAACCTTGTCATCGTAGCTCTCTTTCTCCAGCGTGGCCACAAAGTCTCTCTTCAGCAGGGCCTCGGCAGGTGCCCCACCTGGGACCCCTCCTCCACCTCCACCCAGAGCATCTCGCAGGCTCAGGTCCATAGTCCTGTTACTGGAGAGAAAGAGGAGAAATTACTTTCATTATTCTTTGCTTTTTCTCCTTTACCCACTCTACTTCACAGGCTCTCCAACAGTCATATTACCTGCGTGCCATAAATAAAACTGTAGCTTCTTCCTCTCAGTGACCATCACACCTATTATTTGTAAGAGGCTGAACACTTCACACCTTTTACAAGCCTGTCGATTTAGGTGAGCACACGTTGTACTGTTTGATATGTTTTCTTCCCTCTGTATCTCTGTTTAACTTTCTCTCCTCCCTCTTAAGTCAGTGTAGCGGGGGATGCTTGCCGAGGAAAAATTCTCTAAGATGAATTCATGTTAGTTATTGGGTAATTGGGTTGTGACTGAAATACAAAGATGTGTGTTGTCCTTTTTCCTACTGTCTTTGTATCCTCCTGATGCTACAGCAGCTGTTCATCATGAATCTCCAGATGATTCACAAAGGTGAATAAACAGGGGCCTTTAAGTAAGTAATGCAATGATGCGGACATAAATCCACTGAGGATCGTACAATAACACTCATAATCCTTTCATAGAAATAAATGACCAAAACAAATCCACCAAAACATGACAGGCCCACTCCGACAATGTGCCATGAATGTTATGTTCAGTATGCGTTAGTGGTTAGGGTTCACCTTGAAGGAATTTAGTTTTTTTTAGCCAGGAAGTGTCAATAGAATATGCTCAGATTTTGGATCTGTTGGTGCAGACTGAATGAAAGGTAAATGTCAATATGGATCGCCTCTTGTGAGAGAGGTTGTGGCAAAGAAAAAGTAGCTATGAAACTTCCGTACCTGCCTGAACTACAGTGAGGCTCCATTTATTAGCCTGTTAGCACGGTAAACCACAATCTCTCCGTTTGTTAGAAGCCTTGTTTCACAGTAAACTACAGTTGTTCCGATACCAGTATTTTAAATTCCTCCGATAAGGCCTAAAATGCAGTATCAGCTATTGATGAGTATTCATGTCTGTGCACCAAGCCAATATTATGTAATTTATTAACCCCTGTCACTTCCTAGCAGGGTTCCATTCACCAGTCATGTCCTACTGGGACCATACGACAATTATACCCATTAAAGGCTTAGTAGTAGGGACAAGATGATAAACAACATTATTGTATATCGCGATAAAAAACACTGATGACAGGACACAATAAATTGATTTCCAATATCATAACAATCATGAAACGATGACTTGACTTGAAAAAGCTGTCTAGCTCTCCAGCATACAGTCCTATATTTATCTATTTAGTGCCATTTTAAAATTTCGTATCGTCCCATGCCCACTTCGCCCCAGTATGTATACACTTTTAATAAAAAAATATATATACATAGACATACAGCACAAACGTATCGGATCGGTACATGGTATCTGCCCATATGCAGCGTTCAGATATCGTTATCGGGAAGGAAAAGTTTATAGCCCACCGCCCCCACAAACGCTACAATTATAAACTGAAAATGTCGTACAGCCGCAGCAGAGTCGCAGCACAGAGTGGCAGGAATCGTTTTAACTTCCACTCATCAGGTTACGAGAGTAAGAAGACCGACAAGATGAGGGCGGAGCAAAAGCAGTCCAGGTATCCTGGTAAACTTTGTCCAATGAAGGTGGAAACATTAGGAGTCTGCACACACCCCTTCAAGCCCACCCCATAAGTAATGCTTTATTATACTTAAAGAAATGTAACAAGTTGTCATCAAATCGAATAAAGTTATCTTCAGTCATCGGTCTGTCCTCTGTTCCGAGTGTCTTTCACAGAGTCCCACTCTCTGTTATTGATGTTGATGAGCAGATATTGAGCGTATCTTTTCTTGTAAAATAACTGGTACAGCAGTGCTTCCACCAGTTTATTAAGTACAGGTTGCCATGGTAATTTACCCAGGCTCCGTGATACCAGAAAGCCTGAGTTAGAGGTAGCCGGCCAACCCACTGTCTCACTTTGTGATACAAGCCCCATGTGGACAACTTTCCAAAGGAAGTGTGTGTCAGTTAATGTTTCTGCCACTGACAGCTGCAACACATCACTGAATAAACCTGCAGTCGGTTACACAAAGTATTATTATTATTATTATTATTACATTTGCTGTTCTAGACACCTAGAAGTTTTGCGTTCCAAGATTGGAATAAGCAGCTGAAGAACTGGGCAGATAAAGCAACATTAACTTCACATAAGCGAAAGGACAAGTGATTACTGATAGAAACCGCAACAGAATAAAAACTTTAACAAACATTTTACTGAACTTAAAGAAAGCACTTATGTTCAAATATTTCAAAATAAAAATGAAACCCAACCTTAAAGATGGAGTAAGGGTTGGATTCACTCTTCACTACACCTGCTAAATGCCATAAACATAAAACAGAAACAGTGACCACATGACCACTGAACAAACTCTTCTTTCTTTCTTTCTTTCTTTCTTTCTTTCTTTCTTTCTTTCTGTCCTCTGCTTCTGTTTATCCCTCTATCCAGCCTCCCAGCAAACAAGCTGTCATTGTCTTGCAACTGTACCACACACACACACACACACACACACACACACACACACACACACACACACACACACACACACACACACAACACACACACACACACACACACACACACACACACACACACACAGACACTGCCAGTATGAGGACATACAGTAGAGTGTCAGTGGGCCTTGAGTGGAACTGTAGGCCATTGTTTCAGGGGAAGGACACAGTAGAGTGGACACCTCACAGAACACACACACACGTTCACTTTGGGTATCTACCTCTTTAACAGTCTAGTTTTCTGTTTTCACTCTTTGTTTCTCTCTATGACTATACTGCGGTTATGAATGACTCTATTTTCCTGTAGTTTCCTTTGATATTGTCTCACATTTCTCTTAAATACACACATTTTCATGTGAGTTCTGGTTACTGAAATGCTTTACCACACACACACACAACACACACTCTCTCCACACACACACACACACACACACACACACACACACACACACACACACACACACGATGCACTCAGTAATTCCATCACTCAGATACAAAAATGAACCAATCCCAAATAAAGGCTTCCTAACCTCTATTACCCTCTCAGCATATTATTCTGCCATATTTATCGCTCCATTGGAGAGGTTTCATAAGCCAGGATATTCAGTGGCCTGGAGCTGGTGCTCTTTGTTTTCTCTCACCCATTCTGCCTCTCATTACCAATAATAGCACATTTTTTTGTTTAAATCATTAATGTATATCTTTCCTTATCCTAGGCAAGCTGAGTACAACAGACTGTTTTAACTAATGCCAGAAATAATGTATGATATTTTGGAGAACTGTTTCAGTCCTTGCAGACAGCTTGATAACATCCAGTTCTACAGGACCAGAATGAATGGACAGAGCACGATGATGTGTTATTTAGAAGGGGATGCTCGCAGTAATAAATTCACAAAGAATTATCACCTAACTTTGCAGCTCTTTTGGTCAATTTGGGGATTTTGTTTGGTTTTTGGGCCCATGTCAGCAGCAGGCAGCTGTTTTCAGTAAAAGAGCTTTGATAGACGAACTAAAAACTAGCTTTCTGTGTAGTTACAAGCAGCTAGTAAATTTATAATACAGAATTTAAACAATAACTCCTCTGAAATGTCTCACAGGTTGTACAGTGTGGAAAAAAGGTTTTTTATGATATCCAGATGTATGTGTGGAAAGTCTATGCTTGTATGTATATATATATTTTAGTATACACACAGTACATTGGAAAGGTATATACATGTACATACGTTTGAGGGTAGAACAACAACTGCACACTACCTATCTAGCACTAAATGACAGGAAGACAAAGACAAAGCAGATAGCTGGTGAGCATTTAGCAGATAAAGAGCCAGATATGTTTATCAGGAGTTGCTAGAGAGAAGAAAGAGAGCTAAAAGAGAACTAAGAGTGTTAATATTGGACATTCGTCAGGTGGCCAAATGAACGCTAATGTTACTCTGTGTCTGCTGGGGTGCCATATTTTTGCTAACGCTTTAGCCATAAGAACTTTTAAGACTGATAGTATGTCAGTGATGTGTTTTCAGGTTTTTTGCTGCCAAAAAAGATCCCCATGAATTCAGCTTTAAAGCAGATATAACTAAGATTTAAATATGGGAAACGTTATTACAATGAAAAAGAAAAATATTCGCACGGCTTTTTAAGTTTTTTAAAACTGTAAGAATGAATTATTAATTAATTAATCATTATCTGATCTCATGTGTACACCAGTGTGAAACTTGTAAAAATCAATTAATAGAACTTGTTCCAGGTAAAGACTGGATGAAATCTAGAGCTGAAATGATTATCAACTAGCTGATCCACAGAAAAATAATCGAGTGAAGATTTGCTCTGGTATTTTTCTGTCCAATCTAACTTAAAAAAAACTCTAAACTCAATATGTTTCATTTTTAAACTTCTGGTCAGACAAAACAAGCAATGTAATGAGTCTCACCTTGGGCATTAGAGTATTATGATGGCCATTTTTAAAAATCTATTTCCTTACATTTTAGTCGACTAATCAATTAATTGAGAAAGTAAAAAGTACATTAACGGATAATGAAAATAATTGTTCATTACAGCCCTGAAATCAATGACTTGAACGTCTATTTTACTACAGCTACAGCACTACTAAAGGTTTCAACTGTAACACACTGGCATTATAGTGGAACTGGTGGTAAGTAAAATGTGTGTGTAATAGAGTGTATATGTGTGTGTGTGTGTGTGTTTGAGAGAGAGAGAGAGAGAGAGAGAGAGAGAGAGAGAGAGAGAGAGAGAGAGAGAGGAAGAGATATGATGATGACCATGATGATGATGATGATGATGATGAGGGGCTGTTGGGTGAGACAGCTGTTGCACTCTGAGGGATTAAAAACTATCTCTGTACCCACAATCCCTTGCTCCAGCATCCGCCACCTCTCCCTCTCTGAACCCAACCGTCTGCTACATAATCATCTCATCCTCCGGAACACTGACGGCTCTCATGCA